ATTCCTATTTCCTTAGAAGAATTTGTGAACTGAATTCATGCACCAGCTCTGGGGGTTCTGAGTAGCCCTTCACACATAGCAGGCATCACCTCCCCCGCACATGTAGGGTTGTATTTCCTAACCTCCTTGTGGGTGAACAAGACCATGTGACTCATTCTGGTCAATGACCCAAGTGATGTGTCTGCCTTTCTGAGCCAGAGCATTTACTTATCAGTGCAAGGCCTCCTAGCCGTCTATCTTTCTAGCACAACTGGTGACATTCAAGAGGGTGGCTGCCCCCATGAGCTTGGGTTCCTGAGTGACCATCATTTGCAAAGCCTTCTCACCAGTCCCCAATGGATACATAACATGGGCGAGAAATAAGCCTTTGCATTAGTTCGCTAGGGCTACTGTAACAAAGCACCACAGAGTGAGTGGCTTAACCAACAGAAATGCATTTTCTCACAAGTCTGGAGATCAGAAGTCTGAGAGCAAAGCACAGCAGCATTGGTTTGCTCCTAGGGCTGTGAGGGAGGAATCTGCTTCAAGCCTTTCTCCTTGGCTTGTAGGTGACCATCTTCTCTCTCGTATTGTCTTCCTTCTGTGTGTCCCTGTGTCCAAATTTCCTCTTCTTCTCAGGGACTTGGGTCCTATTGGATTGGAGCCCATCCTAATGACCTCATTTTAATTTAATGACCTCTTAAAGACCCTATCTCCGAATACGGTCACATTCTGAGGTACTGAGAGTTAGGACTTCAACATAGGAATTGGGGGGTAAGGGCACTGTTTAGCCCATAACAACCCTTATTATTTTAAGCTATTGAGATGTGGGGATTATCTGTTACCACAGCATAACCCACACTACCCTGCCTGATACAAAGGAACAATCACATGTAGAGTCAAAACAACAGCTTCTCCGAGTTGTCTGTGCTTATTTATTAAAAGCCACACCAGGGCATTTTATTTTATTTTATTTTATTTCATCTTATTTTATTTTATTAGTTTACATGTGTCACGGCCATGAATAAATTAGCTCACAGCAATATTCTTAGAGCTGGAACATTATTTTCCCCCCATTTTAGGAAGTTGAGTGCCAGAGAAGATAAATGTTTCTTCCCAGCAAACAGGAAAGCGCCAGGCCCAGGATGACTGCCAGTCATGTGCCCGTTCCAGCTGCCCGGTCACCTTCCTGCCTCCCTGGCACCCAGGCTGGCCAGGCCTGTCACCGGGTGGCACTCTTCCCCTCAGGCCAGCCCTGTCCGTGACGGTTATGAACTCGGGATGCCTCTAGCTCACTTAGATGTTATCATCCGACTTGTGACAGATTAATTCCTTAATCACCTGTTTGCGTTTTTTCACGTAATATGAAGCCTCACATCCTATTTCCTCATGATTATGAAACCGTCAGAGATCTAAGAGGTGGTTTATTTTCCAGGGGGACGTCCTCCAGACTCTGAAAGGGATTTACCAGGGAAGGAAATGCCCTCTGCATTAGCTTCCTGTGGCTGCTGTAACTATTTGTCACAGACTTGGTGAATAGAAACCAAAGAAATGTTCTCTCGCAGTTCTAGAGCTCAGGAGCCTACAATCTAGGTGTCATCGAGGCCACCTGTCCTCCGAAAGTTCTCGGGGAGACCGCTTCCTGCCTCTTCCCGCTCCCGGTGCTCCTGGCGTGCCACGGCTTCCTAGGCTGTCACTCCCTGCTCTGCGTCTGTCTTCGTGTGGCCTTTTCCTGTCACGTCTCAAGTCTCCCTCCGCCTGTCTCCTATGGGACGCTTGTCATTGGATTTAAGGTCCACTTGAGTAATCCAGGATGATCTAGCCCAGGGGTGGGCAAACTTTTTGACTCGAGGGCCACAATGGGTTCTTAAACTGGACCGGAGGGCCGGAACAAAAGCATGGATGGAGTGTTTGTGTGAACTAATATAAATTCAAAGTAAACATCATTACATAAAAGGGTACGGTCTTTTTTTTTTTTTAGTTTTATTCATTTCAAATGGGCCGGATCCGGCCTGCGGGCCGTAGTTTGCCCACGGCTGAACCTCAGGATCCTTCACTTATTTACATCAGCAAATAAGGTCATACCCACAACTTCCAAGGATTAGGACGGGGCTTCCTCCTTTGGGGGCCCCTGTGCAACACATTCTCTCTGTGGAGCATCATAAAAACCTAATCACTGAACCTTCCCAAGAACCTTCTGAAAAGTCCATGTGCACCTTTAAAGAGAAGGAAATCATGGAAATGAGAGCTTAAGCAACCTACTTGAGGTCTAATGGCTAAGTTAATGTCAAGGCCAGCCTTCTCCCCAGGAAGGTCTAACTCCACTCTATCCCCATCAAGAGGGAGAAAGCAACGTGAGTTATTACGCTCCACACCAGAAGCTAAAGTGGGAACAAGGGGCCAACATTGCAGGCAGGCAGAGTGTTGGCTCGATCTAAGGAAGAATCTGTAACAGTTAAAGGTGCCCGGTAACCAGCGGGCTGCGAGGCTCCCTTCACTGAGCATCCAAACATAAGTTGACAGCCATCTGCCATGGATGTATTAAATCCCGCCCTGGAAGGAAGGTTGTTGGGCCAAGGGAGCTTGATGGGCCATACATGTGCTGTGTTCAATGGAGCACGAACCAATTTGGGGCAGTTCTATAAAAGTCTGGCATTCTGTGATTTGCAATATTAAATCCATAACAGTCCATGTCTTTGTAATCTTACCATTTAGGTAAAAGAAAAGCAGTATTTGACCACGTTCATTTCCCAGGCTGCTGGTATGCTCTCTCTTTTTTAGGATTAATTTTATACCCTTTACGTTTGCTTTTCCTTCATACGCCAAAGAACAATAGCTCTTATACTCTCTTTAGAGCATTCCTGAGACATGAATGGGGTCTGAATTCTCCATTCCTTTCATGAATTACTCCATGTGTGCCAAATATCAATCCATATACTTTTTTCTACAAGTTTTTAGTTTCTTGTGCTGTATGTTAGAGAATCTGGTGTAAGGACTTCCTGGCAGCCTCTCTTTGATTATGATTCCCCATTTGCCAAGGTTTGAATGCCTTCATTCTGAAGGCCCGAGAACCCTGACACAGGAGAGGGGCCATCTGAATTCAACAGTAACGATATAATAACCACGAACCATCCCTAGTGCTTACTGTGCACCAGGACCCTGAGTACTTTGAGCATATGAACTCATTTAACTGTCGTAGCAAGCCCATGCAGTAGGTCCTATTCTAATTACCCCCATTCAAAAGATGAGGAAATAGAAGCATGAGAGGTTAATTAATTTGCAAGGAGCAGGGCCAGGATTCAAATCCAGGCAGTTGGGCTCTAGGACGGGGCTTCCTCCTTTGGGGGCCACTGTGCAACACATTCTCTCCGTGGAGCATCATAAAAACTTAATCACTTGAACCTTCCCAAGAACCTTCTGAAAAGTCCATGTGCACCTCTAAAGATAAGGAAATCATGGCAATGAGAGCTTAAGCAACCTACTTGAGGTCTAATAGCTAAGTTAATGTCAAGGCCAGCATTCTCCCCATCCTTAACCACACTGCCCTGCCTTGTGTTGCAGACCTGTTGATGGCCAAGGGACCCTGGGTGAGTTGTCCACTTTCCTGGGAAGTGGCTTCTGCGTCTGTGAAATAAAGGACTGGCCAGGTGCTCCATCTCTGAGGTTCTAGGAGGCAGCATTTCCAAGTGATGACACTGTGTCCACATGAGGCTCTATGTTACACCCGTGGACCAGTGTAGAACCCTCAATTCACCTCATAGGAAAGGCTCCTAGTCTGTTTGCAAGCTCTCTGTGCATAAAAATAACCTCACTTGACTCAGAAATCCCTTCCATTTGTAGCTGTCTCCTTTTCTGTGCAAACTGCAACCCATTTCCCTCACTACTGCAATGTGCCGCTGAAGAACCAGTGCTCAGCATGCATTCAAACACCCTCTGCATCCTTAGTTATTAGTATTCCCTAACTTCCTTTTGGCAAAATATACCATTCATCATATACACTAGATTCACTTATTTATTCACCCTATACACATTTATTGAGTGTCTATGATGTGCCAGGCACTGTGATAGGCTCTGTGTTTATATTTACATTTCAGTTAAATCAGATTTTGGTGGTTGTATTAGGGTTAGGCTAGTTGCTATAACAGATAAGTCTCCATATTTTAATGGCTTAACAGGTAAAAGTTTATTTCCTATTCAGATAAAGTGTAAAACTGGTTCTAACCCAGGTTCTTTCCCTCCCATGGCTCCACCCTCCCCTGGGGCGTGGGAGTGATTTACACTCAACAGCCTGCTGGGAAATGAGCCAGGCTGGGAAATGAGCCAGAGTAGAGAAGGAACACCTTTTCTCCCAGTCACCTTTGCCCAGAAGTGACACTCACTCTGGGGTGGATGGATAGAGGTGGGGTGCTGAGATATGTCACCCTAGGTCATCAGCCTCTTCCCAAAGGGCAGCCTCTCTCGTAGGTGGCAGCCTCTCTCGTAGGTGGCAGCCAGTGTGGCTAATCTGTGGCAAGTTTACCAGAATGCACCTATGCGGACTGCCGGACCCTCTAGTGGAGTTTTCCCAGGCAGATGTGCCCTATGTCAGTGACACTGACATTACTCAGCATATCTTTGGCAACCCTTTTTTGGAAGTTACTTTTAAAGCAATTCAAGAACAAAAGCTCTTTCTTTGTAAATCTTCGTGACATTATGCATTCTTTGTGGGCTGATTTAATTCTTGCAAATTAGTCATGAGTCATTCAGAGTCAAGTCTGGAGCTTAAAGCGGAGGCTTCATCATGCTGTTTTGGATCAAAGTCAAAATGTATCAATAAAGAGACTGATTCTCCTGTGTGCCCAATGAACTGGCTCTGAAAGCAATTACCTGAGAGGAGGTGAGTATTTGATTAAGGTGACAGGAGCAAGAAAGCTGTTCCAGGTGTCAGAGGATTTATTTGAATATTAAATGTGTAACCTGTTTGAATATTAAATGTGTAACCTGGGACCAATCCTGGGACCAACCCCAGGACCTCTCTGGGCTTTGTTTCCTCATCTGTAAATTGAGGAGAGAGAAAGGGGGTTAGATCACTTCTCACCTTCCTCGAAGCTCTGACATTTGGGATTCTAAACTAAAGCTTTCAAATACAACCTCTCATCCTCATAGGTGAGTTCCCTGCTGTTTGTTTAAATACAGCTTCATTATTACTAAAACTCAGCCTTGTATTTCGGGTTATGTACACGCTGTAAGTTCTAGAATCGGAGAAGCCCAGGCTGGAAGACCATCCGTCAGGGTGCTTGTGGGTCACATATAACACCGAATAGGCCCCAGAACAGTGCCTGGTACTGGAGAGCCCCAGTCAGTACTTGCTGTCGGAACTGGGTTATTTTGATTATTTCTGTCCCCCATCCACTCCCGGGCCTGCTCTGTCCCATCCCTGCCAGTGGATGGGACCCCTTGGCATGTCCCTCAAAAGAGGACTCACTGCTTCCCTCTTTGGGTAGTGCTGTTTTTAATGTTTTATTTTATAAAAAGTAATAAGTAATAATAACAGCTAATAACTCCTATTCTCTATTCCCAGCTCCTCTTTTCAGAGCCTGCTGTAAAAATAAGTCTTCCGTGAGACAGCCCTCACACACCGAATGCCGGGTACAAACGCCCCATGGTCTTTCCAGAATCCATAGGTTTGTATGTTCTCAATTGTTCCTCTTATAAAGATGAGTTCTTGTTCTTTCACAATGCGGACTCCTCCTCAAATAGACACCAGCTTGTCTTTATTTCCCTTTAATGGGGCACCTGGATGAACCGGATGTGTGATTGGGCCTGAGCCAAGCAGAACAGAACTGTCTCAGGGTCTCAACATGGGCTGGGCTGGGCCTTAGAATCACCTGGGAAGCTTTTTAACATCCGGATGCCCAGGCCACACCCCAGACCATTTACATGGGATTCCCCCCCAATTTGATATCAATATATCTTAAACGCAGGGGTCCTCAAGCTACGGCCCGCAGGCCACATGCGGCCCGCCGAAAACATTTGGTTTTTTACTTCAAAATAAGATATGTGCAGTGTGCATAGGAATTTGTTCATAGTTTTTTTTTAAACTATGGTCCGGCCCTCCAACGGTCTGAGGGACAGTGAACTGGCCCCCTGTTTAAAAAGTTTGAGGACCCCTGTTAAAGCTTCTGGGTTATTCCAATGCACAGCCAAGATGGGAGCAGCACTGTTCTAGATGCTCATTCCTATTAATGTGAGCCAATGTTACAATCGATGTCTGCTAGTCTCATTTATCTCAAAGCTGAGTCACATTTAATTTACTGTTAAGAAAAATCACATCTTTTTTTATGAAGCCATCGGTCCCCAATTCTTTATTGTGTACTTGATTTTTTTAATACACCAATACAACTATTTCATACAGATGAAATCTTTTCTGGTTAAATCTGGCCCTTTTGAATAACCCAAAAGGCAGCAAACATTTCTGAAAAGGACCAAATGGTAAATATTTTATACTGAGATCCATACAGTCTCTGGAGCAACTAATCAAGTCTGCCATGGTAGCCCAAAAGCAGCCCTAGACAATGTGCAAACAATTGATGTGGCTGTGCACTACTTAAACTTTATTTATAGAAACAGGCAGTGGGCCAGGTTGGCCTATGCTATGGGCTGTTGTTTGCCAACCCCTGGTATAAGTGATCCATTTTATTTTGGTTCCCAATTCTGTCACATAACACATCAGCTATGCTTTCCACCTTCTGTTGATTTACAAGTCAGATAAGCACCCTTTCTTTACTTCCATCTAAATTATGGATAAAATGAATGAAACTAGTCCAAATCAGAGCTTGTCAAGACGACATTAGGATGGCTATTATTTAAAAATAAATAAATAAATAAATAAATAAATAAATAAATCAAACAAAACAACAGGTGTTGGTGAGGATGTGGAATGGAAGCCTTATGCATTGTTGGTGGGAATGTAAGACTGGTCTACCTGCAGTGAAAAACAGTATAGTAGTTCCTAAAAAAAAAAGTTAAACTTTGAATCTCCATGTGATCTAGCAATTCCAATCTTAGTGTATGCCTAAAGGAATCGAAAGCAGATACGAAGATATTTGTACACCCATGTTCATAGCAGCATTATTCACAACAGCTAAAACATGGAACAACCCAAGTGTCCATTAATGGATAAATGGGTAAGTGAAATGTGGCCTATACCCACAATGGAATATTATTCAGCATTAAAAAGGAAGGAGAGCCCTAGCTGGTTTGGCTCAGTGGATAGAGCATCGGCCTGCGGACCAAAGGGTTTGATTAAGGATCAAGGGCACGTACGTTGGTGGCAGGCTCCTCCCCAGCCCGGGCCCTGGTCAGGGCGCGTGCAGGAGGTAACCAAGTGATGTGTTTCTTTCACCGATATTTCTCTTTGTCTTTCCCTCTCTCTAAAAATCAATGGGAACATATCCTTGGGTAAGGATTTAAAAAAAATGCAAGATTTGGACACATGCTACAGGGATGAACCTTGAAGACATTATGCTAAGTGAAATAAGCCAGACACAAAAGGACAAATACTGGATGGTTCCACTTATATGGGGACCTAGAGTAAGGCAATTTTAAAAAGACAGAAAGTAGGATAGAGGTTACCAGGGCCGGGGGAAGTAGGGAAGGGTGAGTTAGTGGTTAGCATTACAGAGTTTCAGTTTGGGATGATGAAAAAGCTCTGGTGGTGATGGTTGCACAACAATGTAAATATGTTTAATGCACTAAACTGTGCACTTAAAAATAATCAAAATGGTAAATTTTATTATTTATATTTTATGACAAGTTAAAAAAAAAAGAAACAGCCTGAGGGCCAGCCCCTTGAGGACCTCCCTCCAGCTCTCATCAATGCCTGAGTCGGTACACCTTGCATATAAACATTCAGTCTGTAGCATAGAGCAGGCGATAGAAATTTGTGAATAAAAATAAGTGAATGGACCAGATGTCAATCTCTCATCAACATCATTTTCCTCTTATCGATAAGATCATAATAGAGCTCATAAATGCCTTAGTATGTTTACTAATCTATTAGTATAGCTATTAATTACAGCTCAGTCACCTGTTAAGGAATTGACGTGGGCTTTTCATTCTAAAAAAGAACAGCTGGTGAAAGAGGCCCAGAAATCAGGATTTTAAAAAGATTCCCAGGTGATTCTAATGTGCAGCCAAGGTTGAGAACCACTGACCTACAGGCTGCCCAACCCTCCGTGTTGAGAAGTTCCCTTTGGGGTCGGCGATAGCCTCCTGACATGAACAGACACCTGGGAGGGTCTGCCGGGCTCCTTATGACAAATGGAACAAGGTACTCCTCTTCCGTGTTTTTGCTTATCTCTGTGTATATAATGCAAAATATCCACAAGGGAGCCGAGTATCACAATAGCGGGTTCGGATAGTGAAGGGAGCCGGCTCCGTGGAGTGTAGCTCCCTCTAGTGTTGAACGAGGGGAAAGGGCAGACAAACAGGCATTTTTTGATAACACAGTTAAGTTTGTCATGCAATTTCCAACAGCTGTCCGTCGTACCTATTACATTCTAATGGAAACTTTCACGTGTAATATGAAAACATTTAGGACTCCTAAATTAACTGTCTACAAAAAAAAGGAAAGAAAACGTTTTAATTTAGTTCTGATTCCCAAGACAGTGTTCTATGGTGGTAAAAATCCTCTTATGACATAGGATATATTAAGGAGCAAAACCAATTCCCAGTTGTCCCTTAATCCATTATCCTCTCACCATGATCCCACAGAGTTCCATAACACTTCTGGTATTACCACACACTACAGGGGCCTTCCTTTTAAAGTGAAAGTGGATGAGCCCAACAGCAGATCTGCTTTGAAGGCAGAGTTCTCACCACCCAGACCCTTCTCCTCTAAGGTTTGATTTGATTATTTTTCTGTTGAAAGTAAGTTGTTCACTCTTCGTATTTTTGAGGTCACAAACTCTTGAGGAATAATGAAAGCCATAGAACCAACCCCCTTCTATGCCCCTCAAATGCACACACACATACAAACTGCACACACAAGTCCAGGAGAGCCAGTCTCCCTAAAGTCTGGTCAAGGGCCCTGGATTCCAGGTTAAGAATCCAAAATGGCCCTTTGCCAGGTAGCTCAGTTGGTTGGAGTGTCATCCCCATATGCCAGCGTTGTGGGTTCGATCCTTGGTCAGGGTGCATACAAGAGTCAACTAATGAAGGCATAAATAAGTGGAACAACAAAATTGATCTCCTCTCTCTCTTTCTCTCTCTCTCTCTCTCTCTCTCTCTCTCTCTCTCTCTCCTCTTCCTTCTCTCTCTAAAAAAAAAATCAATCAAAAAAATTTTAAAGAATCCAAAAGGGGCTGACATTCCCTTCATCTGGGAGTGTGGAGTCCATTGAGAACAGAGCTCCATCCTTCCCTCAGGTGCCTGCAGCCAATGTGAGCTAGAGTTGTAATAAACGCCACCTGTCAGGGCATTGGCCGTTTTCAGAGTAGCTCACAAGTGTTATCCCGTGATCTCTCACAGCCCTCTGGTGAGATCAGTAAGGGCAGAAGCACTCAGTGCAGGGTGACAGCCACCAAGGGAAATACTAGAGAAATGCAGAGGGAAAATAGGGACTAGGTCATTATCATAACCAAATCTTTATTAAATATCCGACCCTCTTCTCCACACCCATGATGCCATCTGCTGGCAGCCACAGTGAAGAGAAACAAGGGTAGGTGATTGCAATGCCTTGGGAAGGTGACATCTACGGAGGACATGCTCAGTCAGTGGGTAGCTGAGCTATACTTACTGAGCTGTTTGTGGGGTCACCTAAGAGGCCTATCACTAAACAAATGGGTGTGTTTTCAGCTGGTGGGATACCCAGCCTACCGAAAGTCATTATCTTCCCACCACCGCTAAGGATGCCTGAGTCCCACAGTGTCTGGGACTGCTATACTGCAGTGATCAGCTATGCACCTTTATCTCACAGGTTCTCCTGTGGGCTAGGCACCATGTTTACTTCTTAGACTAGCATAGCACAGTGCCCAACACATAATCTCAGTTTCAAACTCTACTCAAGAACCATCACCTTGGGTATCTGTCTAGTTTCTCCAAGAAGCAGGTGCCAAGATGGGATTAAATGTGTAAGGATTTGAACAGGGGAAGTGTCTATGTGAGAAAAAATAGGGAGGGAGATGGGTAAGGCTAGGAGAGCTGGAGAACATGGTTCAAGTCTAAGATGAGTGAAAGAGAATGGGAGGGAAGGTTGGGTGGAAGATCCTTGAATTATCATGCCATTAAAGGAAGGTCCATCAAAGTTGTGGGGAGTAGGGTCCTTGAGCCAAAGCCAGCCATCTAAGGAGTATGTGCCCCTGAGTAGACCAACTTTAGTGACCCCGCCACACTTATCAGTTGGCTAGTCGCAGCAGTAAGTGTGGTCTTGGTGCAAACAGAATCCTTGGTCAGTGACACACCCTGTAGTTGGAGACCTTTGAGTACATTATATGGCCCCCACATCATCTATCCCACCAGCTCACTTCAATTCTCCAGCCTCTTGGAGATCTTTATGATGCTAACCTTGCTTGTCCACCATCCATCATTCCGTTGTGTCCTTGTTCCCCTTCTCACACAATTTGGATTTCAGGGCCCATCCTTAGACTCTCTCCCTTGCAAACACCCTTAACTCTGCTGACTCCCTCTCACTCTGAGATGCTCATTTGGTCTATTTCCCACTCCCTCCTTCCTAACAGAACCCTCATTGTGTTAATGGTACTCACCATACTATCCTAAGCCAGTGCTCCTCAAATGTCAGAATCACCTGAAAGGCTTGTTGAAGCACAGACTACTAGGCCACACACTATTCCAATTCAAGAAGTCTCAATGGAAGTCTCAAGAAGGTCATGGTTTGATTCCCGGTCAGGGCACAGGCCTGGTTTGCCCGGTGTGGGGTGTGCAGGAGGCAGCCAATCAATGATTCTCTCTCATCGTTGATTTTTCTATCTCTCTCTCCCTCTCCCTTCCTCTCTGAAATCAATAAAAATATATTTTTAAAAAAAGAAAGGTAGAGGCAGTCTAAAAAGAATTGCTTCATCTCTACCACCAAGTCTATCACCTTACCTGTGTTTCTACCTATAAACCTCAACTTTCCTCCTGTTAGAGATGAGGAAGGCTTCCTGCTTTTACTGGAGGCCAAACCCTCCACTTGTGTTTTAGATTTCAATGCCTTTCTGGTTTCAAGGACTCTACTCTTGCAATTATCAATCCCCTTCCCTCATAGGGATTTGTGCCTCAACCAGATCATTCCCATTGGCAAATAAACATGATAGGATAACATGGTCTTTCAGAAAATGTTCTCTCTTGACTCCAAGTCCACTCCAACTACTCCATCTCTTGCCTGCTCCCTTTCCCATCTCCTATTAGCTCTTGAACCTGTCCCAATTGGGCTTTCTCAGTGTCTGCCATTCTAGTGAAATGGCACTTCTCGAGGTCGTCATCATGTTGTACGTCAAAGGCAATAGTCAGTTCTCAATCTTCATCTAACTAGATCTTTCAGCAGCAATTGACACAGTTGACTTCCCCTTTATCTCAAAATACTTTTAGGCTCTGTGGAATCTCTTCCCACTATACTGACCTCTCCTCACGATTCTTCCTCAGCTCCCCAACTCCAAGTATTGATGTTATATAGACTTGGTCTTCTCTTCTTTCTTTCTCTGTATCTATACTCCCTCTCTAAGTGGTCTCCTCTAGCCATGGGACTTTATATATACAAATACATAAATTAAATCAATTATTGTCCAACTCATAGACACCTCTCCCTCACGTGCCAGACTCACTGTCTACTTGATATTGCCACGTGCATGTCTAATATGCATTCCATCTTTACTTGGTAGGGCCTTTTCCTCTTTGGAATTCCAGCTCCCTCATTGCCTTGCAACATCAGTTGTGCGAAGTGCTTAAGGAAAGTTATGGTGCTGTCATTTACCCAGCTTTCTCTTATTGTCAGGGTGAGAGCAATGCTCTTTCCAGCTTTCCATATCCTTGGTGGGAGGAGAGTCATCACACAGAGGAATTGCAAGTCCAAATGAAGAAAAATAAGTGCAGTCACTTATTAGATTCTATAGTCTTCATAAAAAATGAAAGTTATTACATTTATACAGGGCAGCAGGCAAGATCTGTAGCAATGCACCTGATTTGTAACAATGGAAACAATAAAAATTTGTGTCGACCACAGAGTAGATGAAGTGTGATATGGCCACACCATAGAATGCTACACAATGGAATGAACACATGATTATACTCACTGATGCTATTGAACCTAAGAAACATGTGAGGCTAAAGAAGCGAGGCACAAAAGAGTACACAGAGTATGATTCCATTTATAGAAAGTTCAAACATGCAAAAAACTAAAAAATATATATTTTTGGGTATATCATATATGATAAGCTATTATGAGAAGCAAGAGAATGATTAACACAAATGTCAGAATAGTGATCAATATTTTTTAAAATTGGTTAAAAAAACACACCACCAAGTACAATTTAGGATTTTTGTTTCCCCATTGTCCTCACTGCTTTATGGCACTTTAAGGAAGGTCAGATGTAATAACTGATGATATGTTGGTCTGATTAAACATTAATTTTCTAGCTCTGGAGGTGGAGCCTGAATTAGATCCTTTTCTCGGTGGATGTGAGGACTTTACTCAGTGGCAGTGACTCACAAAAAATGTGAGTTTCATTGCCACCTCTTGTTGTCTTGACCTGGAGGGTTAGACATGAAGAATCTCTGTTAAAGGAGGGAATTAAAGGGTCAAGTGTTTCTGAATCTAGGCAAGGTTTGGTATGTGCTGACTGCAGAAAGGGGTGGGTGTGATGTAATGTAACAGTCTAGGGCAGTGGTCAGCAAACTGCGGCCCCTTGAGTGTGGCTCTTCCACAAAATACCACGTGCGGGCGCGCACCGTACAGTGCGATTGAACTTCGTGGCCACACTGAAGGGGCCAAAGAGCCGGATGTGGCTTGCGAGCCGCGGTTTGCCGACCATGGGTCTAGGGGGGCTCCAAAATAGCTGGGTCCCCTCTTGTCTCACTGAAGGAAGACTAGCCCCTTGGTCAGTGGGTAGAAGAGCAGCAGACCATTTAGTGACACAATAAAGAAAGTCACTTTCAAAATGTGTTTTGACAGGGTTCAATCCACCGTCCCTCTAAGAGTCATCAAGGACTCCTTGTCAAGACACTCAGAAAGTGCTGTGAAAGGTGTTTAATAAAGCATTTACCTACCATTTACTAAATATCAGGCATTATTCTAGGTTCACTATAAATGTTAACCCATGTAATCC